GATGGATGATTCTTAAAGATGTTAGACTGAGTAAAAGAATTCTTATACAAAACAGTTCATACTATACAATTCCATTTATGTGAATTTCTACGACAGGCAAAACTAATCAAGGATGAAAAAATTTAGAACACTGGTAGTCTCTAAGGGTGAAGGGAGAAGATTACCTGGGAAGGGACAAGAGGAGACTTTCTTGAGTGGTGATAGTGTTTTATATCTTAGTAGGTGTTTAAGTTACACAGTTGTATTTGTCAACAGTCAGCAAATATACAACTTGTATTTACATATTTCATGGTACATATATTTTACATCAAAAGGAATAACGAATAAAAAGCAAATACTGAGCTCTAGTTAAGGATAGGTGTATGGAAAGTGCTTAGGAGTGAAATGTATTGATGTCTGCAAATTTAAAAAGAAGAAAAGACAATGGATAGATAAATGGATGGAGAGGTGGATAGGTGAGGGATGGATAAAGCCAGTATAGGAAAACCTTAATGGCAGAATCTAGCTAGTAAGTAACAAGATGTTCACTATAAAATTCTTTCAATTTTATGTTTGATATTTTATATAATAAATATTTTGGAGAAAATGTAACCACAGAGTTCCACATCTTGCACAGAACAAGTAATTTTCTAAGTTGAAAGGCTTCATTGAAGCAAGGCAGACCTCAGACCTCAGTAAATATTGTCTGAGAACCTACTATAAGCCAGGTACTGTGCCAAGCTAGGTTAAGGATATAAAAATGAACACAACACTTGCCCTCAAATAGATTATATAGATTATATTATAATCTATAATCTATATTATATATAATCTATATATAATCTATATATATCTATAATATAGATTATAAGGACCATCTGAGAAGCACATCTCTGTCACTGTTATGTTGTGGGGTTGCTAAGGAAAGTGAAATTTCATCCAGTTGAAAGTATCTTAATTATCCTAACTAAAAAAGAAATGATAAGTATGTGACAAAATAGATGTGTTAGCTAATGCTATGGTGATAATTATATTGCCATATAAAATCTATCAAATCAACATATACATCTCAAACTTACACAATGTCATATGTCAATTCTATCTCAATAAAAATAATTTGTAAAGAAAAGTGTCTGGCATTGAAGGCACGCTGTGTAGTTATTGCTGCAAATATTACCAGCAGGCATCTTCAAGTAAGAGCAGGGTGTCTTGAAGGCCACACTAAGGTGATAATTTGGCCTACCCGTTCAAGAATTTTGAACCAGTAAGTGACATCCTTAATAAAATGCTGGGAGAAAGGGGTGGCTGCAATACATACATATTATTGCTTTAGAGGGATTGCCAGGCAAAGGGAACTTCTCACTTAACTGCAATGAGCATAGGGAGCAGGTGGAAACATCTATCGGGAGGAGGGAAGTTCCAAATGACCCAGGAAAGCTCAGAAGCTTAAGGAGACAAGAGCTTGAGTTCATTGTCTGGGAAATAGGAAGCTATTTAGTCTGTGACACTCTCCTACTTTACCCCAATGTTGTGACTCCGTAAGGCTATATGGGTTGTTTACAGCCAGTATTTATTCTGATTGCTCCATACCCAAGACATACTGATGTTAAATATTTTTATATCAACCTTACCTACCTCATAGGATTGTCATAAAGTTAACTACTATAATGTACATAATATGTCTAACACATACTAAGTATTTGATAAAGGAGATCAGAGACCATACTTGATGTTTCAGTATGTGGTCTAGGTATAGGGGGACTTCATCATAAGTTCACCAAGAACTCCAAGAAGTCTTTAAGGTAGGTACTTGAGGCCCCTGAAGTCCATTCCAACTCACAAATATTGTGATCTTTATCAAACCCCAGTCTCCTGAAAATACTGCACATATTCCTGTGGAACAAACAGGAAGCCCCAGTTGGACCCAGGAACTGTCCAACTTACTCTTTTCTGTCTTTTGAGAATGGAATTGCTGTGGTGGCTTGTGGCAGCCCACACCCTCAAAGTGTTGCTGTTAAGAGCAGGTAGGGTGGGTTGCAACAACAACGAACTCAGACTACTTGGGATCATCCTTTTTTAAAACAAGGCTTTGGACTCTAGTGTTTAAAGCCTAAGTCCAGAGTTGAAATTCTCTCCAAACCAGAATTCTAGTTGGCCTCTATGTTCACTGCTCATCTGGAAAATTGTGGCACTCCCTACTTTTCCCCAGTTCACAAAGAACTGACTGTGAGAGTTATATAGGCACAGACAGTTCACCAATGGAACTTGTTCACCAATGTGTCTCTAGGACTCAGCATAGTGCTTTGCACAGTGTAACATGCAATAAATATTTGTTAAATGAATAAATGAATGACTCTCAGTCTGTAGTTAATGCTTCATGAGGCTTCTTTCCACCTCTCTCTCAAAGCCCATTGTGGCTTTGGCAGTGTCCTGGACTCCAACAGTGCTTACCATATGTGGCCATCCTTTGGCAACCAGCCCAACTCAACTCAATTCAATTCAACCAACTTCCATGGAGCTGCACTATTGGCAGGAAGCACTCAGTCTCAAGAATGGTGAAAGCATTTCATAGCTTGTGGCATCTCAGTTATACTTTGAAGATAACCTTGGCATGGAACAGACTTTTTCCAAGGCATTTTCAAAGTCTAAATACATTATTATAAATTACTTCCCTTTGTTAACACATTTGATTACCATTCAGGAAATAAATGAGTTCTGAAGATGGTTAAACAGATAATTATTTGATAGCAATGGGGTAGGTGTAGAATGGGGATGGATGGGTAAGGATACAAGTCCTTGTCCGATGGATTTGCAGTTACATTAAGTATGATGGAGATAAGGGGATCTCCAGCCATTGGCATCTCAGCCATTCAGTTGTGGCCTGGGACTGGGATTTGAAGGGACACTTAGTAGCCCCTTGCATGAAAAAAAAAAAAGCTACAATATTCACACTCACAAAGTTGTTTTTTCTTGAGGATTGGGCCTTTTTAATTTTTATAACTATTCTCCATTCCTATTTCCACTTCCTTCTCTACATCTCCCATTTCCCATGTCAGTCTTCTGTAAATTAGCAATGTGCTTTCTCTCTGGTATTACTTATTTTATTGGAATAAGAGTTAGCTTTGTACATATTCATTAAAACATTATTTTTAATAGCAAGATCACAGAAATAACCAAAATCTTACAATAAGAGGTAATTTAAATACATAATGGTAGATCCATAGTCTGGCATACTGTGTAGACAATAAAATTATATTATAAAAATAGTAATTGACATAGAATAAAATTCACATTAAGTGAAAAAATAGACTATGAAATTATGTGTAAGATGTGTGTGTCTCTGTGTTTGTGTATATGCATGCAGCAGATGTGTGCAGTACTGGCAATTTTTTCTTGATGTTTTTCTGTTTTTCCAAATTTTCCACATTGAATGCTACAGGCACAGTTGGGTACTACCAACAGGGGTGAAACTCGGAGAACACAAAAAAAGTTTAAATCAAGGCTTCCTTTAGTCAGTAAATTCTGAAGAAGGCAAAAGGCACAGAGTATTGGAAAGCAACTCTTGGAATATGCTGTTTTTCAATTGCAAAGGGGAGGAGATGGTGTCTATTGGTGGTGAGGACTTAAGGCCCACCAAAGAAGATGGGATTCCATTAAAGAAGCAATGCGGAGCGTCTCTTTGTTTCTGAACAACAGGCAAATTGATGGAAGTGGTGTTGGAGGAGAATTATTCTAGCCATAGGAGGATAGCTTGGGTTGTAGGCAGGGAGAGCTGCCAGGAGACTCTCAGTTTGCATATTTGACCTGAGGTAATGAGAACTTGCATTAAGCTTCCAGCAATAAAACGAGAAAAGAAGCGGATAGATCTGAGAGATGTTACCAAGGAAGAATCAGAGCTAGAGATTTAAATTTGCCTAAATATATGCCAGGTGGTAGTGGAAACCACGTAAGGTGATACTTTCCAAGGAAATGGATTTTAAGAGAGAATAGCTGAGGACTGACTGAGTCTTCAGGAATTCCAACAGTTAATGGGATGAGGAAAGAAAAGGAGCCAGCGAAGGAGACAGAGAATGATGGGTTAGAGAAATAAAAGGACAAAACTAAGAATGCAATGCCATGAGAGCCAATGGCAGGACAGTTATAGGAAGAGGTAGGTGGTTGATGGTATCAAATTCATCTTTGAGGTCAAAGATGCAAACAGAGCAGAGACCCTTGAATTTAGCCCAGAGGTTTGTTATTGAACTTACTTACAGAGAACAGTTTTGGCAGAAAGTTCTGGACTCTAGAATGTTCCAGAGAAGAGGTGGGGAAATATAAGAAGCTCAGAGTGATATGTTAGGACTAAGAAGGACAAGGTCAAATTTTATCATTCTAGGCCTGCTACTTAACCACTTGAACTTGTCTCCTCTTCTGAAAATGGGAATAATCGCACTAGCTCACAAGCCATTGAAACTACAAGTTTAAGTGATTATTTTGATGCTACAGTGAAGGGGTTTCTTTATCCACATGCCCTCCCCCAAAAATCTGTGGGCATGTTTTAACACATGGAGAGCAGTCTTTTAGCTTAACAGTCCTATTCCTAGGTTGGCAGTGCTTTGAGAATTTCCTGTCTGTGTCCTCTGGCATTTGTAATGCCAAGTCATTTTAACAATCCTTTCTTGAGCCCCTCCTGTGTGAGGACATCAAGGCAAGGTGATTAGGAGGGAGCCAGTGGTCAGGGTCATGTGGAATGTCTCTGAGACCTATGTAAAAGCTATTAAGTAAGAAAGGCTCTGTTTGAGACCGTGAATAGTTTGCCAACCAAACACCCCAACAAGATAAGGCTGTAGCCCCCAAGAGCATGGTAGGTGGAGGCACCAGAAAACTTCCTTTTTAAACCATGGCACCTGCAGATTGAATGACCCTTGGACTTCATGGTCTGAAACAGTCAGCTTGATTTTCAAGGTGTGCGCAATGGTGGATATTTTTCTTTTCTTTTTAAAAAAGATTATTTATTGAAACATCAATGTGTGTTGCCTCACATGCGTCCCCCCACCGGGGACCTGGCCTGCAACCCAGGTATGTGCCCTTGTTAATGAATGAACCCATGGGGGGCCAAGGTACTGTTACCGAAACAAGCCCCCTCCCCTGGAGTCTTTCTGTTTTAGGTTTGTCTTGCCTGCCACCAGGTAGGAACTGTGGCTCTCAATGCCAGAGTTTGGTAAAAAGAAAAGGAATTGTTTATTCAAAAGTTATACAGGTTTAGAATGGCAGAATGTCACTGTTAAAGTCCCAAAGTCCCCTAAAACACCCACAAATGCACATAGCCCTGCCTTCCCCTCTTTGCCCAACCAGGCCAGTTGGGGGTACCATATCTCAGGAAAAAGAAATAGAAGTCTGTAGCTCTGCTAAGCTCCTGGTTCCTCCCAGAAATCCGTGCTCAGCTGGGTGGGTCTCCCTCAGTCCTCAGCAGCATCAGCTGTTATGCCGCTGCGTTCTCCAGTTCTTAATGCAAAACCACATGGCATCTCCTCATGGCCCACCAGTGAGAGTCCTTTCATCCTTCTTCCTGCATGGTCTCACATTGTCCTCCCACATAGTTCTGCATTGTCCTGCATTCTTTCAAACCACTGAGAGAGCTCTGCATGGCTGCTACATCCTGATTTCCTGCTTCCTAAGCCTCATAGTCAAGGGAACCTCCTCTCCATTCCCAAAACTGTGTGGTTAGCCACCGCAAGGCTGCTGAGCCTAGGTTTAAATCCTGGCGGAGATCTTTCTCTGTAATCCCATTTCTGACTCCTCCCACAATTGGCTACACCTGCCAGCACTCCCACAGTTTCTGCCTTTCTTGGCTGCCATAGTTAGTTTGGGCAGGTGCATGGCCCCAGGATGTGGAGTGAACCATCTCCAAGCTCTCATACAAGCACTGTAAAGGGACCCGCCTCCCAGCTACATCACTGGTCCAAGTCACTTCCATCTCCGTAGCTAGACTTGTTAATATGCAAAATAACCATTTTTACATATAGATATAAAGATTAGTCTGCTGTTATTGATATGCAAAGTAACTTTCAGTGGCCCTGCTCCATGTGTCCCATCCCACAGCCAGACTTGTGGGTGTGGGGATATTCCATATTTCCCAACACCTCAAGTTCTGGACCCCATTACAAATCCCCCATTTGGGGGGCCCTGGCTGTACCTTGTTACATCCTGACTGGGAATCGAACCAGCGACCCTTTGGTTCACAGGCCACAATACACTGAGCCACACCAGCCAGGGCTATTTTTCTTTCATTCTTTCTATTCTCACTTGGCAACCACTTACAACCAGATCTAACCAGAACCACCTCATTTTTTTTTTTATACTTACTGGTTATAAGTCAATGCTTTGAGGACTTTTCCCTGGTGAAGCCAAATCTGTTTCCAGTTTGATATACTGTGGATTGACCTTTGTCTTAGTGCCTTATTTCCCCTTAAAAGAAGATTCCCTCTGAGGAAAAAATGGCTGCCATACAAGCCAGCAGGGCCTACACCCATCACCAAGTCCTGGAGATGCACAGATCTGGGTGCTGGCCTAACTGGATGAGAGTGTGGGGCTGAGTATATTTTCTAGAATTGGCTTTTTTCAGACACTAAGACATGTAGCAAGTGTAGTCAAAGGGCCCTTTTAGTGTCCCTGCTTTTTTTAATGGAAGAACTTGGTTTCCTTTCTGGGAAGATGGCTTACCTTGGAAAAATGGGGTCAATCATGGATGGTGCACTCACAAGTTAAGATATATGGGCAGCTCCAAAAATGTGACAGGAGATCAGAGCAGGGGTATTTCCAAGGAGGTTGGTACATTATCGGAAACCTGTTTGGAAGACCTAGGAGTCCTATTCTGCTTTCCTCTTCTTGCAAATGCCTGACCATTTGGTCACAGAATTTGGTCTGAGTGTCTTCTCAATAAGATGCTCTGCTCTGCTGAGGGAAGGATTGGGAGCTAAACAATTAGGCTAGGGTCCTTGTCTATGAAAGTAATTGCCATAAGATGAGGACAAGCAGTCCCAGCTAATGCTTTACTGAAGAGCAGAACTAACCCCTACACAGGGCCTGCCTTGAGGGGGCAGATGCTGTATCTGGGCCAGTAGGGCCTGGAGGTACGTGGAGGGGCAGGGGTACGTGGATAATGAGGCCTGTGTGGTTGGTGGCCCCAGCCACTGCACAGCCAGTGGGAGAGCTGGGTAAGGTCACCATCTCTTACTTCCTTCTCCTCGCCTAGGGGGAAAGGTTAGCAGCGTCCTGGACCCGCCTTGTCACTCCCGAACAACCAGGAACTACAGTGAGAGCCAGCGACTGTGAACCCTCCTGAGTTGCCTGCTGCTGGAACTGTATCATCTGGGCAACACCAGTAGCCTGGGCGCGGGCACCTGACACAACATGGGGTTAGGGGTCATTCCTAACCCCTCCCTGGGCCATGAGGTGAACCATGTCAAGGGTGTCAACGACTATGTCTACATTCTGCTCATCATAATCTTCTACTCCTGTCTGGCTGGAGGCCTCATCTTGGCCTACACCTGCTCTCACAAGCTTGTGGAGGCCAAGGATGAGCCATCCCAACCCTCCCCCCAACACCAGTGGGCTTCGGGAGGCATCCTGGCCCTAGCTGCTGAGATTGCTACCAAACCGCCGGCTGAAGGCCGCTGCCAGCTCGCAATCAGGAGGCTGCCCACCCTTGCCCAGGGCACCCAGGGGGTCTAGAACCACAACAGCAGCTTGCTGGTGCCTTCATTACCTCCCTTATGCATGGGCATGGTCCCTGCCTTTTCCTTTCCTCCCCTTCCAGGGTTCTCCTCACCTGAGACCTAGACAGTGATAAGAGGCCAGGAGACCTTGTCTGGAAGGAGCACCACCCTACCTACTCCCAACCAGTTTCTCCCTCTTCTCCCTCCTCTTCCCCATGCCTTCACCTCCCCGCCCCGCCCCCCCCGCACACACAACTGCAATAAATGGCTTCTGCTCTCTAGTCTTCAGACAGCCCACACTCCAGCCCTCTGGGGACTGAATCCAATACATCCAACAGTTGGCAATGTAATGGAGCAGTGAAGTCTATCAGAACTTTGGGCTGTCTTACTAGCAGCTGCTCCAAGGGCTCACTCTGCCGAGCCAATGGACTTACCATCACTGCCAGGATGGCTGCACAGCTCCAGCTTTCTGTTACCTTAGGAACAGAGACAAAGAAAATGAAGGGACCATATACATCATTTCCCTCCCTCCCTCCCTCCCTCTTTCAGCAAGGAGCTACCAGAACACTAGGACCAGCCTATGGGAAAAAATGGACATAATGACGACTGAAGGAAGAGAGGGGCACAACATGGAAGGGAAGATCTATGACCCGACTGTATGGTTTTCTTGCACTCAGTTGTTACCCCAATGGTAACTTGCTTGATTTTTAGTAGCTTTGCCACCTGTCCTCTGCCATGAGCAATCATTGGTGGGTGCATCACCCTAATGCTTCTAAATGCTTCTCATCTATTGATTCAGTTGTTATGGCAGCTGTCTGGTTAATCCATAGAATACAAAGCTCAGATGTCTCCTGCTCTGTAACCTGGGAAATGTCAGAGGCAGATAATAAAAGTTGTTTAAACAATAACCTAAGATTCTTCTCTCAAAGATCCCAGACTTGAGACTCAGTAATATTTAGAGAAGAATTTTTAAATTTGTTTTGGAAATGATGTTTAGATTTGGGGGTTGGATTTTGGTGATATTTCTATCTACATATCCAGTTCCAATAGAATAGATCTGATTGTAGGTGAAGAAGAGGTTTATATGGCCAAGTTGGTTATTTTTAAAAGTGTTTAAAAAGTTACAATGATTTTATTACTTCTTTTTCCTTAATTCTGAGGCACTTTCAGATTTCACAATGCTAACTAAGGATTTCCCAGTTTCCTTTTTCTGTTTTTCAGGATACACTTGAAAAATAAAAAGTTCTCATGCCTATCATAGGTATTATCAAAGTTAACCTTTAGAGCACTTTTGTAACTCTCTCAAAAAAGTAGCTTATTAAAAGACAAAAAGCCACCAAATAGTATAAATCTTAAGTCAGAGGGATGATTCTTGAACTAAGCAATCTTTACCAATGATTAGTAAAGTTAGAGATGTATGTATATTGATTTACTATCTTTGTCTCAAGGTCATCAGAAACTTGCCTGCTTAGGGCTTAAATGCTTGTACCTGATGATTGCAGTTTGGGCTTCATGAAACACACAAAATCACCTTGTAGCACTAAGCTGGCTTGCTTAAATACTGCTAATTTCTCAGTAACAGCAGGGCAAAGATATTATGGGTCACTTTAATGCATTGATAATATACAAACCTCATCCAAGACATTGATTTTGACTTTGTAGCACATCTGGTATTTTACTGGAGCTATTACTAAGTTAAATGAACTCACTTTCATTCCCAGGGTTGACTCCTTGAAGATATACTAGCTTTGCTCCATTGGCTCCTCTCCAGTTCTAGTTTCAGCCTTCAGATAGTCCCCTGTCTTTGCAGGTGGGGACCAAGGATTGGACAGTAGTCCCAGACAATGATGGGAAGAGAGGGGATGCTGTCAAACCATCTCCAGAAAGTCACAGAGGCCTGAGTAGGATGTGGAGGGAGGGCACAGATATTTAGCTATGCTGGGTGCATTGTGGGGGGCCATTCTCCAGCAATGTATTTCAAGCACAACAGTGTCCCTCATGTATCTGGCATAATGGGAGACAGATAATTACAGCAGTGTTGTATTTCAGGTACAGCTATGTTCCTCGTTTATCTGTCATAATTGGAGACACAAGATTGTTTTATTAATGAAGTACAATTTTTTCAAAAACATTTGAAAATGTATTGAAGGAAGGGAGGAGGAAGAAAGGAAGAAAGGGAGGAAGAGAGGAAGGAAGGAAAGAAGGAAGCATGCTAGTAGCAGTTGGGACAATGCCATAAAAAACACTAATGTGCCAGCTGTGGAAAACAAATATCCCAGCTGTGCAATAAAAAGTATTCCTGATTTTAAAAATATTTTAGGGTTTTTATGATGATTAGATTACTCATTAAGAGCATGTAGCAAGAGCCCTGGCTGTTGTGGCTCAGTGGATTGAATGACAGCCTGTGAACCAAAGGGTCACTGGTTCAATTCCCAGTCTAGGGCACATGCTTGGGTTGCAGGCCAGGTCCCCAGTAGGTGGCATGCAAGAGGCAACCACACATTGATGTTTCTCTCCCTTTCTTTCTCCCTTCTCCTTTCTCTAACAATATACAAATAGAATATTTTTTTAAAAAAATTCCTTAAAAAAAAAAAAGAACATGTAGCAAGAATAGCTGCAGAATTCTCCCAGGGAAAAAGAGTAAACTAGCCTGGAAAGAATGATTTTCTTTATTGCCAGTTGCTTTCTTCACACATATTCAGTGTTTGTAACTGTGATGAAATTTCCCAGAAGTCTGGACACTACCACCCAGTGTGGATGTCAGCAGCATTGAAGTGATCATATTGTGATCAGCAAAAGATAATGAGAAGAAAGAAAAACTAGGTGTTTGGCCAACCCCTAGTTTTGATAATGTATTCCTGTACAAATTGGGAAAATGTTGTCCATCTCCTTAATGTGATTCTAATAAATTAAGAGTGATTCTTTTTTTTTCAACCCATGAAGCAGTGTATTTCTCCTTTCTATGTAAGCAGATCCTGTTTCATTTCAGGTTCAGATCTTTGCTCCATAATGTTAATGAAGAAGAAGACCCACACTTCTTTTCTTGTAACCTGAGGGTTTCAACAAAGCAGAACTAGATGTTTTGAGTTCCAATGTCTGGAAGTACTCATAGACAGTGGAAAAAAAATGAAAGCTTTTCTTCCATCACAGATATAATTCTGCGTTGTTGATTAACTTTTCTAGAGGGACATAAATGGGGTCTTTTCATTTGTTTATATTTACAATCTTTGTTCCAATTTGCCAACTCTTTTAGAAACCAAAGATCTGCACATGATTTGTATCAACAAACAAATGTTTTCCAAACAATCTTGCCTAAAGGCTAAAGCAAATGTGCCATGCTGTTGGAGAAAGCATAAGACTAGAAGTAGGACAACAGGGGTCCAGCACTAGCTTTGCTAATTAATGAGCTTTTTTCTCAGAGTTAACTGCTTAACCTCTCTGGGCCCATCTCCACAGTGGTGTGGATTTGAGGATCAAGTGAGGTAACATATGAGAAAGGGGTAGTGGAAGTAAAGCAGCTATAAAAGCATAAGGTGTTCAGTTTATATTTCCATTTTCCTTCTTTGGGGGAGTGTCCTTGGGCCATTGTGTGGGAGAAGAGGGAAAGAGAAAATTCCTCACTATGTAAAGTTTACTTTCATTGCTGAAGGAAGAGGATTGCAGAGATTTAGCCACTAGATCCCAAATTTCTGAGTCTATTTCCCTTATTGTCAGAATTTTGGATGATTAGGAATCTGTGCATAACTGTCTCACCATTCTATTCTACTTCCCTTTACCTATATGCCCACAGTGCCTTGAACAAATTATGACAATAGTACTGTATTTTCAGGGCTCCACTAGGACTGAAGTTTCAACTTTGAAGACACAGGTCAGTGGCTGAGAGAGGACATAAGAGAAGAGAATGAATGGAAAGAATAGCAGGCTGTGGGCATTAGCAGGGAGGTAGGGGGTAGAGCAATCTAGAATGTTCTGTGAAGGTCAAGGAGCATGATTGAGGACCACCAAGGGTGAATAAGTTAGATTGGTCAATAGTCAACCTTAGGTGAACTTGAACTACCCACCAAAATGGCTTTAAGAGAAGAGGTTGGATGAGAAGTCACTTTTCAGCCCTTTTTGTTACTTGGCACAACATACAGCCTGTCCAGGAAGACAAATAATGTGATTAATGCAACTCTTGTTTCTGTGTAAGATTTCAGAACATGGGACCAGGTTAGCCCATCAGTACCCCATGAGCTGTAATTTGAAGGAGGACAGGGTCTTGGTAGCCTTGGCTTCTTCTTCTGAAAAGAGTGCAGACAGAGAGATATCTCAGATATGTAAACATATAAGTATATAAGTATATATTTAAATTTGGTAAATATACACAATATAAAATTTACCATCTTAGCCATTTTTAAAAGTATATAGTTTAGTGGTGTTAAGTACATTCAGGTTGTGGTGCCACAGTGCCCTTTTAAGTCACAGAAAAAGGCAAGCATTAAATTACTTTATATAGAATCAGCAGGGCTTCAGATGAATCTGAATCATTGCTTCAGATGACTCCCCCTCTGGGGTATTTATATTTATACTGCATCACTCAGGACAATCTAAAGGTGAAATCCAAGAAAGGAAGCTGTAGTTGTAGATTTCATGGTATCTGGAAGGAGAGATATCTTGAAATGTTTATGTGTTGGAGTATACTGTACTTCTCACAGCTTCTCAAATCACCTCCTACTCTTATTTCCAACTGCTCTTAGAACTCTGGGGAGGACTACAGTGGCCATGAATGACTGCATTTCAGTAGGAATCTGCTAAATTCTCATATATTTGATCCAAAAGGTGTCCATTCATGGAAATACCTCAAGTCTCTAGAAAAACAAGGGTCCTTCTTCCCTTGGCTCTTTATAGGATCTATCAATAGATGTGATCTGGTAGGGGTTGCAGCTCCAGCAGGCTTGGAAAAAAAAAGAATGGAGACAATGGATATGTTAATTTTGCTCTTCTGGTGGGACTACTCCTCTGGAGGCACTGTGATCA